AATAATATATGTTAAATTTATTTCTTTAATAGTTAAGTCATTATTTAGATGTTGTGGAAGTTAGAATAGCAGAACAAGTTGCTTCTAAGTCTCAAGCATTTTTTCATGCAATGACTTCTCATGATGCTCTAATGGAGCAGCTTACACAAACTATTACAGTTTTAAAAGCTCTTAGGAAAAATATACACCAAGTTGATAAGCATCTAGTCAATAATTCTTTAGAAATCTTAAGGTAAATTATAAAGTAATTTTATGGCTTTCTGAATATTATACGTACTTTAATTTATTTAAGTTAAATGTACTTCCAGATTGGAAAGAGCAAGATCCAATCAAGTATTGGTTCAAGAAAAATTGAAACTGATGGCTACAGTACATCAAAGTCAACCAATGATACAGTTGTTGTTATCTACACCAGACTATGTTGCAGCATTAGATCTCATTGCTACAACACAAGAAATACTTTTGCAGGAATTGAATGGAGTACATAGTTTTAGGTAAATTTAAAGAAATAAAGGAGCTACTAATGATTGATAAAAATTACATATATTTAATTATTTTTCTTTTTTTTTTTATTGTTTAGGCATTTAAGTTCTCAATTAACGGAAATGGAAAAACTTGTTGATAAAATGTTATCTACGGAATTCCAAAGATATGCAACTGCAGATTTAAATAGGCCATTAGGAGCAGAAAATACAGTTTTGGATGGTGTAAGTATATGTATAATTGTGTAAAATTTTGCATACCTAGTTCGTAGCAAACAAACCGTCGTGCATCTCTTCCCAGTGAGATCATTTGTACATCCTCAACGAACAGGATAAACTTGTTTCCATCATTTCTGGCCTTTTGCGGCAAAAGCATTTTCAATTTGTGGATACTTACAAAGAAGAAGCTGTGACAACAGTTAGAGCTGTAACAAAACAGAGAGTCATAGAAGCCTTGGCAGCAAGTGACTGCTGTAGTGATCAACAAGCTGCAGCTTTGGAAGTTGGTGGACTTTCTCTTGCAGAAAGATTAACACTACTTCATAATGCTATACAATCTTTAACATTCCTTCTTATGCGTGTTAAGGTATACTTCAAGCTATATTATTGAACATATAATTATTTGTATACATAAACTGTGATTAAAATTATTTTTATCCATATATAAAAAATAATACATGTTTTGTATAATATTCATTTTTAGGCTGTTCATGACGTAATGCGAGATACAGTAGATCTTGCAGCAGGTCGAGTGTGTGACGGTTCATTTGATGATACGATACTTGATTGTTTATTAACTCAAGCGGAACATTCGCGAGTAACGACCAAGTTACATGATATGATAACTTCCGTTTGTGATTATTGTCATGAGCGAATGGGAAATCTGCTTTCTGCAAGTACAAGCGATAAAGAAAAATTACAAAACGAAAAAGAAAATCCAAGCAATGAAAATTTAAGTAATAAACAAGAAGAGAAAGAAAATCAAAATTGGAATGATAAATCATCTTGGTTAAGTAAAAGAGCAACAACAGCTCAAGTATGTCAACTAGCCAATTTAGTTGAAGAATTTACAGAAACTTGTGAAAAGCTCTGTGGTAAACAGTGTACAGGATTGAGGTCTGCATTTAAGGTATATATTAGTTTATAAATTACATTTCAATCATATAAATGATATTATTACTATCTCATATTTTATAATATTATAGGCACAAGCTAGTAAATTCATTCAAAGATTTCATACCGAACTTAAAACGAAGCTTACTCTTTTATTGGAATCTGAAAGATGGAAGCAAGCTGACGTGCCGTTAGAATTTCAGTTGTTAGTAACATATGTGTATGAATACAAATACTTTCCACCAAATCTGTTTAAAACTGAAGATAAAGTTAAAAAAGATGGTATTCAAAATTTTATTATGGTAGGAGATGAAAAGTACGCCGTTGTTGGTACAGCTTTAATGCTTATACAAATGATTCACGAATATTGCAAGTAATGTCTGAAATTCTAAATAATTTCTGAGTATGTTATGAAACGCTAAATGACATTTTTCTTGTAGAACTGGCAGTGAATTAATTGCTTTATCGGGAACAATTGGAAGGCAGTTAGCTGAATTATTACGTCATTATAATTCACGCTGTTGTCAACTTGTCCTTGGAGCTGGTGCGATGCAAGTTGCTGGTTTGAAAACTATTACCAGTACAATACTTGTATTAGCAGCACGCAGTTTAAAATTAATTTTATGGTTTATGCCTTTTGTAAAATCACATTTTCAAAGTAAGTTAAATGTTACTTAGTATTTAACTTACATTATAATTATGGTAGTAACGCTTAATTATTATCTACGCGTAGTGCTTGCGGAACAAAATCCTAATCGTGGATTTGGTGCATCTAGTATAAGTGGTGGTGTTGCTTTATTGGATAGTGTCGAACGAGATATTCGCGCGCATGTGAAAGAGATTGAAAGCAAAATTCTTACTATCGTCGACAATCTATTAGGCGGTCAAATATCAAAATGGACTGCAAGACCGCCAATACCATCAAAATCATTTAGAAACATTTCTAGGTAAGTGTCACATAATTTAATTACTTTATTGATTAAAATTAAGTTTTACTTGTAATTATTAATTACAGTTATTTAATGAAATTACACGAAGCAGTATCTGGTATTCTCCCAGCAGTTGAAGTACAAACTCTGTATCGTACAGTAAACACATCTTTCAAAGAAAAACTCAGAGAGCAATTAGTCAAAATGAATATAGTTAATAATGGTGGTCCACAACATGGTGTGGTTACATCTGAACTTACGTTTTACCTTGAGGCATTACGGAAGTTAAAAGTGCTACCAACTAATGAGTTAGATGATAATTGGATGAGTGATATATGGACTAGATAACATGCAGAGCGTGTGATATATTGCATAATAGAAGCAATGAAATATTGTAGAAAAAGGTGACTAATCTTTATTATGGTCTTCCTTCACATGTGTTGTATCTCGGTGACTATTAATGTTTTGATGGATTTTTAAGGTTGTGGCTGATATTGGAATTATTCATATAAGTATTTATAATTATTTTATTCATAAGGTTGTATAGAATTCAAAGTTGATTTAGTAATGTTAATGTAAGAAATTCATAAACAGCAGTTTTATAAAATGCTGTATTCAATATCCTGAAAATATGTGTAAATAGAACACTTTACTTAAGAAAAATGATATTACCTTATATTGGCTGTTAACTATGTTTCAACACAAATTACAAGTTTATTTGATTCCTAAATTTGATTACACATATTTTACGTTCCAAACAATTTTATATGCCATAGTGTTCAAATGCCAAATTTCATATATAAGTATGAACAACTACACAAAAAAGTCTATACGAATGATAGAATATTAATTTCTTCCGTACCTATAATATTAAATATAAAGAACTTATTTGCAACTGAATACAATAGTAAGCATAAAAAATTTGTGATTGTTACTTGTACAATAATTTAAATCAATTTAATTTAACATAATATAATGTGTGCAAAAGAAGGACCAAAATTTAGATATTACGTTACTTTTCTTTTCCTTTCTATAACTGTTTACGCGTTATATGTAAATCTTTTACTCCCCAAAATGAATTTCGTTTGAAGTAATACAAAATAAGGAATTAAAATGTACACATTCTGTTAATGAAACATATAAGACCTAAATCATACATAAGATATCAAAAATGTAATATGACTGCTTTTATTGTTGTGTTCATTGCTTGAATTGAACAGACTGTGAATAGTATATTGTCAGATTGACTCTGACAATGATTATTTAAACATTTTTATATACTGTGTACTGTTCTCACTAATCTGTTTTTATTGACAGATTACTAAACTAATTTCTAAATAGTAAGCATGCCTTACCATTGGACACATTGTTCAGTAGAGTACATTGATATGGGGGTTTTTATCAAAGTTTTTGAAATGCCCTATTTCTCATACAGTTTTGTGCATTTAAATGTGTACATATATGTACAACAAACGTATGCATTGTAAATTTACTATTACGAAACCGTTCCGCAATTTATAAAAAGGTAAGAATGTAACGCAATTCAGTGGTATTTAATTATACATCACATATGTTTACTTCTATTTAAAAACAATGAAAAAAAGATAAATTACAGTGTTTGTATAATTGATTGTAAACATTTCTTTCATCCTTATATCCAAAGACAAAATTATTGGTTATTAGTCTACATTATATTACTAATAAATTATATAATTACACTTTGGCATACATGCATAACCTTTAAAAATTACCTTTGTTTACAATACATTTAATTTATTATCGCTAGGCGTACAGTGCATCCCGTTACAAACTTCGTCTAGTCCATTCTGTACATATAAAAACACTGTAGTAATCGTCTGTACTTTAATTCATGAACAATTTGTTAACAAAATTGTATTGTGGATCAGTAGAGACTTGTAGAACAAGTTTTTACACACGTTTTGCAGTTAACTATAAATTATTGTGAACAATGTTCTGGTAAATCTCTTCGTCAAAACTGTGGACGTCTTGTTGATCGTTTGTATAGAGTTTGAAATTGAGATATAACATACATCATTATTTCACTGCATAATGGATGACGTATTATAAAAATTACGAAAAATTAATAGCAGCACTGTATAAAAAAAAAAAACCTTATATTTTGTACTTATTTATTACTTATATTGATTCTACAATTAAAGTAAATTATTCAGTAGGAAGTAAATATTAATTTTTATGACATACTTACAGTTATTATTTTGAATAATCCATATATTATAGTCTTATGTACTAAAATATAATATAAAATGAATGACGGGAAATCTTAAAAGATATTTTTTTTTCTGTGCATGCATTTTACAAATGAAACATTCTGCATTGCTATAGCAACTAATACGAAAACACTCTCATAACCTAAGTACAAACAGAACATGTAGAAAGCCTGCATTACTGTGCATTACTGTATAATGTTTGTTTAAAAACTGTGGATTAAAAAACAATGGCAGATGAAAATTCGTACGTATCTATTAATACCTATTTTCATTTAGATACGATGTAATAATATTTGTTATTTGAAAAATTTCAATGTTATTTAAAGAAATTGTAAAATTTTAAATTAAAAGTTGGTATAATTTTACTACATTGATTATATGCATTTGCATGTACATATATAATCTTGTTCTTTTCATACGTGCAATAGATTTTTCACTTAAATCATTGAGTTCATAAAGAAATAAGCTTTCCCATACGATTATGAAATATACATTTTATTGCTAATATGTAGGTCATGAGAATATAAATATGTTCACATTTTAGTGAAGAAAATATTAGAGACGTTGCTTTGCGTTTTTGTTTAGAAGAGGAGAAACAACGTAAGACTAATATAAATGAAACACATGAATGTTCAATTGTTATTGTTGGTACTAAAGGTGTCGTACGTAATATAATAATTAAAAGCATTAAATAGTATTATCACAAATTGTAATAAATCGTATTTATGAAAAAAAGTAATTCTTAGGGTAAAACTACTATCGTACATCGATTTCTTGAAAAAGATGAAACACCAAAACCAACTATCGCGATGGATTACTCTTTTGGGCGTAAAGCTGGAAAGAGTTTAGTAAGTTTTTCATTTTGTGATAATTAATTACGAAATGCAGTATTATTTAAGCGAAAAATGCGTGGGGTATTTCACATTTTCAAAAATTTTGAAAAAACAAAATTAAATTGATTTGCTGGAGAGTAGATAAAAAATATATCGCTTACGATTTATAATAAAAGTTCTGAAAATCAAAAAATATAGATCTTTGACGAAGAAAAAATTAATTTCTGATGTATCAATAATAAAAATAATGAATTTTCAACTTTAAACTTCAAAATTTTTATTTAATTCTGTAACAAACAGTATTTTTGTTTACAAATAAATGAAACAGTTTTTCATATAAACAATTTCACGTTGAAAATTTTATTAGTAATTTATGTTTACTATCTATTTTTATATTAATTAATATGATTTTTCTGACAATACAATCATAACAACTATTTCTTAAGACCACTTGTTAAGTATTAACGGAACATATGAAAGAATATCAAATATATTGTTGTCTAGTTCTGTAACTTTTTGCAAACACATGCGATGGAACAAAAAATATTTAGCTGTAACCTTATTTTTGATTTATTTCTTATTCCCACCACAGATAAAAAATATCGTGCATGTTTGGGAAGTAGGGCATTTAACTTCTTCGTTAGTGTCAGCTGCAATAACAGGTTCGTCTCTGACTCATTCTCCTCACCACGTCACGATATTTCTTATGCTCGATTTATCACAACCGGAGATTTTGTGGTCCACGTTTGAGGAGACTCTCTCGGTAGTTCATAATGCAATAAAAATGAGTTACGACGATAAAACAATTCAAGAACTTAAGTATCGGCGTATTAAGGAGCAAAAAAAAGGACTGGAAAAAGAAGTCGATCCATTTCCATTGAAACTTTGTATTATAGGTGGAAAATACGACCAATTTAAGGTATCGTCGTATTCTCTTTAATATAAAACGTGTTATTGTATTACCGTTGTATTGTTGTTAAGTATTATATGATCATTGTACTACAATAAAATTATAAAATGCTCAATAATTCTGAAATAGGATTTAAACTTGGGTAAAAAAGAGATAGTCGGAAAAACATTAAGAGCTGTAGCTCATTTTTTAGGAGCAGGACTCTATTATCATTCCTCAAAAGATAAAATACTAATACGAAGAACTAAAGACTTATTATCTCACTATGGATTTGGCACTCAACTTTCGTAAGTTCTTTTGCTGGACATCAAAATGATCATAATATATTTCCAAGAATATTTAAATACTGAAACGATATTTCTCTTCTTATCAATCGAAAATCAGTGGTGGCAAGTGCACTGATTACGAAAAGCCATTAATAATATTTGCCGGTTCAGACTCCTTCTCGTCGATCGATTTGCAATTTCTTCAGACGAGACCTTCGGCGATTTTAGATACCATCAAACAGATTTACGTTACCCGTGTGCCGCAAGAATCCAGAAGCAACGAAATTATTTTGGAGGATCCAAGTAACGACCCCAACTTTAATGAACCAATCATCGATAGATTACGGGCTCAGAGAGAAGAGGTACACTACTAAATAATTCTATTTATTCATCGTAAAAAACGAAGAATTCATCTTTTTTAATTTCTTATTTTCTACAGGAATAACCTATCAATTAAATTAATCAAGTTACTAAGAACAAAATTTAATATTTTAAATGGCTATTTAGTATAATGTTTGGTTCGATTTAAACAATATTGCATTTTCTTATCTTAGAAAATGAAAGTAGTAAAAAAATTCTTTGCTTTTAGGAAATTAGTATTCTCCTCCACGATATGTTGGAAGGCCGGATACCTCAAATTCCCATTCCAGATCCATCATAACGTTAGACAACATTATTTCGTCGCGTGGATTTAACACGAGTGTATGACAAGTGGGAGAAATGTTTCCAAGTGGAAGAAATCCTTTTGTAATACATTCTTGTCACGTATTTGATCTTGTCAGCATCGAAAGGAACTTACGATAAGTGGCAAATTCAACATTTTCTCGTTTGTATTTAGTAGGTACGTAATAAAAAATGAATCAAGAATTTGTAAAATTCTGAACTATCAACATTTTAAATTAATTGCCTGTGGTTAATAAAAGTGTTTTCTAAAATGTAAATTTTGAAATTGAAAATTAATTTAAATTAAGTTTTCACGATCACGCAAGTAATTGTTGCATTAAATAAAACCTAGTTTTAAATTTGCTTGTCATTTTATATCTATGAAATCTACAAAGTTTTTGACGCGCCCCCTTGCTTCATACGTTAAACTAAACTCCAAGAGGCATATATACTACTGCTTGCAACGGTAATACTGATAAGGCTAGTGATAAAATGTATTTATCAAGTGTGAAAAAAATTATGCCATACGACACATTCTTGTAGAAGCAAGAGCATGTTAATTCCATTTAATATTGAAATTTAGAAATATGCAAAGATAGTTAAAAATACAATATTAGTATTCAATATTACAATTAACGAATCTAACCAATCCCTTTGGAATATGTTGCGACCCGTTGTGATTATTTAAAATTTTATAATGATTATCTCTATATAAAGTATTTTCATTATTTATGCAGTGTACATAGTTACCATTATGATGATAAGAATATTCACAATTCTCAATGTGTCATTATCGATTGATATCGAAAGGAGTTGCGTGATACATCAGATACGATTGTTTACCCATGATGAAAAGCGGTCTCTGCGGAGTGCATATTTAGAGTAAGGCATTAACAAGTACTTACACTCCCGTGCCTCCATTTAGTCAATCTTCATTAATATTGCATTTCATAATAAGAAATTCAATTTCCCTCTTCTACTACATTCTGCAAATAAACGTATAACAGGTAAAAGTGATTAATAAATTCATTAACAAGTTGTTTATATGCTAATAAAAAAATATTTGGAATAAATCTGCCATAGGATTGATCGCGGAACTACGTTTATTAGAAAAGCAAGGAAACCGATAATAATAATAATCACGATGTTTTTCTTCATTCATCGAAAGTTATTCCGTTGAGACTTACTTTTATCGAAACGAAATGATTGATCTGACACGAAATTGTTAATCTAAATATGATCTCCATCCTTTGTCTAAATGAAGTTATTTGTTCTGGTGTCATCGCGCACGCGTCTTATTCCTCGCCCTTTCCCAATAGTGGCTCACCGTGAAATCGAAGGGTGCACGAAGGGGGAGGATGGGAGTGCAGCAGGAGAGGGTGGGGATGGTCTCACCGCGCGGTTCCCCGGTTTCCAGTGGCTGTACAACGGTGCGCTGATAAGAACAGCGGTAGCAAACGGTGACGCGTGCGCGTTACGGTGCGATGCGCATGCGCGTAGAGGAACACGAGTCGCTCCCGATACGCGGATAGTCGGAGTCAAGCGTTTACAAAAACGGGATCCGACTGGGGGGGTTCTCGCTGCGTTTCGGGCCTCTCGCTTTCTGGCCTCGGTTTCCTTAGTGAAAATGACGCTGTGATAGAGAGGCGTACGTGCCGTGTGCTCTGTCTGGGCTTGTGGCGCCCTGAGGCAACCGTCAACTGTCCGTGAAAATTTGTACTGTGCTGCTGATTTCACCGATTCGCGGTTATCTTTCCGGCGCTGTCACCTCCTTTCGTCTCTCTCCATTGAGAGAGAGGCTGTGCTTTTCTCTTTTCCACTCTGACTTCGTCTCTCTCACTCCCTTCCTCATTCCTTTTTTTCTCTCTCGCTCTTTCTTTCCGTCTTATACCATCTACCCTTCACGCATTATTCGCGCGTTTTTTTTCTCTATTTCGCTACCGTCAATCGGCC